TTGAGTTGGATCAACAAATGGCTAATTTGAAAGCGAAAAATGAAGCAAGAGAAGAAAAGAGAGAAGCAGCAGAAGCAGCCAAAGCAGCAGTGGAAACAGCCAGAGCAGTAGCGGAATCAGAGAAAGAAGCAGCGGCAGCACAGAGAGAAGCAGTGACAATACAGAGAGAAGTAGCGACAGCACAGAGAGAAGCAACATATCAGCAGAGATGTGAAGAATTTGAAAAACGACTCAATGATATGATGCTAATGATACAGAAAACGCAACCTCAGAATCCACCATCGTAGTCTCATTTATGTTATGAGCATTCTGTTAATGTTAATGAACCTTGTTTAATTGAATTTATATTATGTTAATGAAAATTTATATTTATTATATTGGATTTGATGTTGTTTGTTATGGATATAGAGTTTGATGTTATTGTTGTTTTGTTTGTTGGATAATGGAACAGGTTGAAAAAACAGATTTGGGGTAATCAAACATTATTTTTAGAACTGTTAAATTCTGTGTTATTTAGTGGCGTTTGTAAAAAAACGCCGCAATATGCTGTACATTTAGCGGTGTTTGTATACTAGAAACGTCGCAATATACTATACATTTAGCAGCGTTTGTATACTAGAAACGCCGCTAATGCTCAACCCTTATTGCGTCATTTTCGATACAAACGCCACTAAATCTAAAAACCTACTGCGCCATTTGTGGGAAAAACGCCGCAAAATATCAAAACCTACTGCGGCGTTTTTAAGTAAAACGCCGCTAAATCTCAATACCTACTGCGGTGTTTTTCCTAAAAACACTGCTAAACATCAACACCTATTGCGGTGTTTTTCTGACAAACGCCGCTATATGTTGTCACCTATTGCGACATTTTAAAAAAAAAAAACGCCGCTAACTTTAGAGGCGCTATTTTCAGTGGTGCTTTTAGCGGCGTTTTTCATAACGCTGCATGTGTTTTTAGAGCGCAAAACGCCGCTATAGGTAAAAAAAAGCCGCAAAATACCTGTTTTGCTGTAGTGATTTATACCCCTACGTGTGAATAAAAGAACGTACAAACCAAACAACTTCGGTGGTTAAGGGATTTGTTATTATCCCTTAAAGTATTGAGTTAGAGCATCTCGTACGTAAAAATATGAGCGTTTATTATTAAATGATTTAATTTTTTTTAATAAATATTTCCTTATATTCATCTAGATTTATATAAAAAAAGTGTGTAAAAGAATGGGATAATGTAGAAATTAGTGGACTGACCAATCAAAGAAGAATCTTTCCCCTCCGTCACCACGTATATAAGGACCCCATTGCAGGAAACTTATGCATGGAAAAATCAAATATACTCTCTTTTGAATATGTAATGCTACCTGCCTGCTTCTTCTTCTTACCATCTTTTTTTCTTTCTCTTGATGTTTATAACTGAACTGTTGCGGGGAATGTTGTGTGGTTCGAAGCCATTCATCTGAATCTTATATCTTGAATGATTTCGGACCAGACTTCATTCCCCTCAACTTGGTTTTAGAGATAATAATATATTCTGAGCTTCACTCTGCCAAGGATCAAATTTGCATATATCTTCATTTGCTGCAAACAGTAAGTAGAGTTGGAATCAGGAAATCCTAAGCCAATGGATCAGGGCAGCCAGAATTCAAAAACCTGGAATTATAACAGGTGAAAAGTAAGGGTAGAATTCGTATCCTGGCTTCCTTCTTCTTTCAATATTTTGTCATAGACAGCTTTCTCTCTCTACCTATATAGTTCAATGAGAACATATGAATGCTAAAAATTCTATCTTCGTCTATCTTTTTGGTTTGTTTGTACCTATGGGATTTGGAGTGTTGACTAAGTAATAGATGTTGACTTTGCTTGCAGAGTTGCAAAGAATATTGACTTATTTAATGACTATAAAAGTATAACTTTGTTTGCTGCAACTTTCTTGCTTTATGTAGGTGTTAGATGGAGAGAGATATTAAAAGTGAACCTTAAATTTGCCTTAATTTTCCCTTCAGGACTCCTCACTACCTCTTGTACTTACACCGTGCCAGTAGGTATATCAGCAGATGGGGTAGAACCGTAGAAGTTCGTCTCCTTGAGTTGATTGAGGGGAACATGCAAAACTTGGGGTTTGAAAAAGATGAAATGAATATCAAACTTTTGGTAGTGATTTTATGTTTTCATAAGTCAGAATTCCCAGGTTGAAAAAAAATCGAACCAAAGTACTTCCTTTGTAGGACTTTGAGAGGAGATTGCTTACCAAAGATTACCAGGTTAAAGAAACAGGTGGGGGAGGGAGCCACCATTGAATCTTGTCTGCTTATGTGTTTTCCATGTTGTGGTAATTTTTCCATGCAAATGTTGGTAATATTGTAGTACTGCTTAAAATTATAATGTTAGGACAGACCGTAGAATGATAAAATTGAAAGAAAATGAATCATTACCTTAGAAGTAAAACATTGGCAGATAAAAAATGTTTGGATGATTGAAAATGAGTAGAAATACATTCTATCCATAGACCGAAAGAAATTACTAAATGAAAATCAGCAGTGAACACGCCGACATGCGTTCAAGGAGCATATCCACCAATACTAAAAACGAAGGGAATGATATATTGGGATTAAACTTTGCAAATTCATTTTTGCACTAAATATTTTAACAGTGAAAATCTTTCCATCTTCCCCCCCCCCTTTTTGTTACCGTTCCTCATGTTAGATCATGTATCAACCTCACTTGACTTGAGCCTTAACTAGGAGCCAACTTCATATGGCAACAGGGACAACACGCAGTATCATCTTTTCCAGTCATGACCGTAAGGGAATGTCATCTGATGACTTGATAAAATTACAAGATAATACGGTAATTGTCTAGATTCAATCTATATTTATAATCGAATGAAATTGTGCTCATAAAACAGGGTAAAATTTTATCTGAATCTCTATTTAACAGGCATCGAGGTGGAGATTTGTTAGGTATGGCTCATAAATATACCAGTAAAGAGGACAGGAGATGGAGCGGAGTGAGCGAAGCGAACATCAACTGTTCTTACAAAGAAAGTCTCGTTGTGGGGTTACAAATTATGTGGGTTGGGGGTGCGGGGGCGTAGCCCCCGCGGTACGGTACAGGGTTGATTTTGTAATTATGTACTAGGGTTTTCTATTATAAATAGAGATGTAACCTAGACCTAAAAATTATTATTGAATAAAACTTCTAGCGCCGCCTAGGCACCGAGGACGTAAGCACATTGCCGAACCTCGTAAAATTCTCGTGTTCTTTCGTTTTCTTTACCCGTTTTCGTCAACATCACTTAACAAAGGCTGAAGCTTCAAACTTCAACTTCAACGTGGAGAGAGTGGAGAAATGCAAAGGAGAAATGTCGGCAGTTAAGTAAGGTAGGTGCACTTGAGATCATTTTGAAGATTTTGCCGTCCAAATGGCTTTTTTTTTTAGCTTAGTTTCATCCACATCTGTAACAATAGTTCTCCCCAACGGAATCATTTGATCATAATGAATTTCAATTTATGGTGAATCTAACTGTGAAATTTTATTTATGTCCATCCACTAAAATTGTGTTATTAAAAAAATATTTCGAAATCCACTGTTGTAGACCTTGATTGGAACAAAGACAAAAATATACCTGTAGGGAAGGAGCCAACAGCCACTCCGCAAACTTCAAGAGCTGGAGGAATCCCCAAAGATAAAGCATTTAGAACTAGTGAAAGGAAACATGTGAATCCTTAGAAGTAACAACTTCACATCTTTTCTAAATCAACCGACTCGTCGTTATAAAACATTTACTTCATAAAAATATATTAATTATTAACATATATTATAAAACGACATAAGAATATATTTATAATATCAATTAAAATATATTAATTTTATGAAAATTATTCATAATTGATTTTTCAAAATTAAAAGAACAATAAAGAATAGGAATAGAAAATATATTTTATAATTTATGTTATAAGACAAAGGGAGGTTAGAGAAATTTCCAGGCTTTGCATGGAACCACGTGATGCAATTGCCTCTACATAGTTGACATGCCTGGCCGTGTTCAGAGCCCGACTCCAATTTGACTTCAATAATTCTTCACGGATACGAAACAAACAAGACGATGGACTAAACAGTTCTCTCTTTGTCGATTGCCCTTCTTCGACCGCACCAGTTTCGTACACTTTTTATCATCTTATGATATATTTCATATTCGTTTTATAATTTACTCGTGATTATATATCTTCAACACTCGGAAAACAATTCTTTTAAGAGGAGGTATACCTTATCAACATTCGAATCAGGGTTGGTTTTGAACATACTCAAAAGACGAGCACACCTCCTCTACCCGAATTCATTTTGTTATGCTTAGAGTCAAATATTGAAGTCTTTCCATTAATAATCGAAACAAATTTGATTTAAAAAAAAATCAAATTAGAACAACTTCTTAGCACATATGCCTATTCACTTAGGCCCAGTAGGCAGCAGAATTCAGTAGAATATATTCCAATTAAAGACACGTTGCAGATAAATGCAGCCCCACATGCCCTCAATAGCTCGTATAAGTCATATACAAGTCCAAATACCCAACATGAATGGATAAAACCAGAGTCACCGAGAGCGATCAATCCTTAGAAATTTCAAATACTTACATATTTTAAAAAAAAATTATATTTCTTATTGATAATATGTTTTCATCCTTTAATATTTTATAAGTTTATTACTTCTAAAATATTATAAGTTTATCCCCTAATATAAAATTTTGTTGGTATCCAACATCTTGAGCAATACACAAATTCAGTTCGTCAACCCTTTTCAAGCATTAATTGCCATGAAAGATCAAACACTTGTTTCTTACAACCTAAACCCCAATTCTACACCAGCACTAGGCTCTAATACCAGCATCAAAATCCTAAAAAGGCTAAGAAATCCAACATTCTGAAGCCAAAAAAAGAAAAAGAAACTGCTCCCATATATATCCATGCAAACCAATTAGCCAATCATTAGACTGAACATTGAAAGGCTTTGACACCACAATTTCCTATGTTGTAGACGATGATGGAAATCTTGGGTGATTATGCTCCCCTTCATAGGTAACAATAAGCATGGATGGTTCTTCCAAGCACCTCTCCACATGTTTCCTTGCAGGGCAACCTCTCATGGTGCTACATTTATAATAACCCCTACACCAATTGAAAAAACAAATTACAACATATTCCATTTGCATGCACGTCAAGTTCATATATATCAAATCTCAATCTTTATATAACCTAGGGTGAGGAGAACCCTTGATCGGCTTCTGCCCGTATTTCCTCCATGAATAGTCATCAGGAGGAATGTCTGCAAGCTTGTTACTGATAGCAGGCACCTTGATTGACCTCTTCACTCTATGTTTCCTACACAATATGGAGCTATCAATCAAGTACAAAGTGGGAAAACAGTAGTAGATCAAATAAGAGAGAAAAAAACTAGAAACTGACCTCTTTTTAGAGCAATGACATCTACCACTAGTTCCACATCTGATACTCCCATCTTCTTCTACCATACCATAACATTTCTTCTTGTGTTGGGAATGGAAAGCACTCCCAACAGTACAATTGAAGTTAGCTACACTTCCATCTATGCTCAAGGAAGAAATGAAAGACCTAGTAGATGACATGGTTGGTGTGTAGAAAGAGCCATCAAAGTTCATGTTAATCCCACTACTACTGGTCTTCCCAAACATCATCATTTCAGCTTGTTGTTTCGTCTGTTGTTGTGTTTGGAGGAAATGATAGTGCCCCAATGGCGCCTGTTGAGTGAGTTGAAGAGGGTTCTTCCCTTTTGAACTCGGTTCCAACGATGGGTACCCTAAACATAGAGGTTTCTTTTGTTGGACATTAGTGTGTGGGGTATCCAAGAGGGTGGTGTGAGGAAAAGGGGTTTGTGATTTCCTTAGCTTCCTCACTCTTGCATGTCCCAAACCAGAGTTCAAAAGGGAAACTACTCTTTTGAACCTGAAAACAGCTTCCCCGGTTTCAGCCATTAAATTCCTGTGATTAACCTGGTCTCGAGGCTGACACAAAATACTCAAAACTCTATGGGAGCTATCTACTGCTGCTTTGTTAGCCGCCTCAACCTCCTCCATGTTACCCCCCAAAAAAAAGAAAACAAATTGCCTAAACTAAAACAAACAGTAAAAACAGCAAAACGTAGCTCAAAAAGGCCATTTCTTTTGCTTTCTTCCAAGACAGAGAAGGTCAATAAGATCAGAGACTGACCGGTGAAAAAAGAAAGAAAATAGCAAGCAGACAAGGATGAAAGCAGAAAACAGTTCCTATGAGGAGGAGGTGAAAACAGAGAAATTTGCCAAAAATAAGAAGAAAAGAACAGACCTTGTTGAACTTGATGTTAAATTCTAAGATTTTTCTTTCATGTGTGTAGTTTGAGATTGAAATTGTAGTTTGAGATTGAAATTGAAAGGGGTGAAAGAGAAGAATATTTATGTTTTTGGGTAGGAGAGACTTTCACAAACGGCTATGACGAAACAAAGCTGGCATTTTTTTCTTTCCTTGCTACGTATTTGTGTATGGTATTAATTACAAACGTATTCTTAAAAGAAAATCAATAGAGAGAGAAGATGAAAGGGGGGATGATTTCAATAAGCAACAGAACAGAACAAGAGAGAGGTTGAGGAAAATGAAACTGCCATCATTGTCACAGATTTGAAGGTGGGTCCCAAGCAAAGACCTTGGGTTTATTCGGTTTTCTTTTGCCAATTCTATGGTGCTTTCATTACAATATTAAGCATGGTTTTCTGAACTGGATTGGTTAGCGAACTGATCATGTTATCAGTTTATTAGTTCAATCGGTCGAATTGAAAGAATTGGACGATGTCATAATTATTTACAAAATTAAATAAAAATATCAAAAATATTTAATAAAAAATAATTTTTTATATCACAAGTCATATTCAAAGCAAATAATAACATATATAAGTTTAAAACTATAAAATCAAGTGAAATAAAATGATTTAAATTAACTACAACATAATATTTAAGGTAAAACATATTAAATAAAAAATATAATTATATAACTATAATTAAAAAATAAATTTGAGGCTAAAAAATCATAACAAAATGATATTGTTTGGTTTAATTTTTTTTTAAAACAATCTCACATGGCTAAGAAACATAGAAGAGCATCCCAAAAGTCTAAAGAGAAAATATGAGAACAAAACAATCCCAAATGGCTAAGAAACATAGAAGAGCATCACAACTAACTTCTATAAATAATAGAGGTAATTTGGCATTCAAAATCATGGAGCCTTTTGGTGACCATTGAGTGAACTATTCTTTCACTTTAATCAAGCTCGAATTTTAGGCTTCAATCGAGCTTCTAATTTTTTTTTAGTTCAAGCCTTTTCGAGTTCAAGTTTCAATATTATATTTCGAGTTCGAGTTGAAATTGATAATTTTTAGCTCGTGAGTTTGAGTCGAGTTGAGCTTACTTTTAAAATTTTCAAATTCGAGTCGAGTTCAGCAATACTCGAGTTTGACTTGGCTCGTTTAACAAATGACGTCGTTTGGTTTAATTTTTTTAAAAAAACAAAACAAAATTGACGGTTTTTTCCAGTTTTTTCCGGTTTTCAGCCAGTCAAGTTTGAACGGTTCAGTGATTCTGGTCAGTTCACTAATAACGGTTCAACCGGTGTAAATTGAACCGGACTATACAACAATTCCCGGTTAAACCGGTTGAACCTGTCCGATTTTCAAAACAATGATATTAAGTTCTTCAGTTCTAGTCTTTTCCTACACAAGACTACCATTTTCAGCTACCAGTTTTTATTTCATTCCGTAACCAGGTGTGCTACTGCTTTCACCTTAATGTAAATTGTTCTATTTCAAATTTGTGATTGTAATATTATTTTAAAAAGGATTAATTAGAAAATAAGTGTTTAAATTATATTTTTTAAATATGTGTACAATTTTTTTTCGATTCACTCAGATGCCTAACGTTATAAATTTTATTACTTTAGGTGTCTCAACCGTAGCGGTCGTTAAATTATGTCATTAAAGAACACGTGTTACATTATGATAATTTTAAAATTTTATTTAAAATTAAAATTATTATTATATTTATGAAAAAACTCAAAAATTTTGAAAAACTTTAAAATACCCCCAAACTTTAAAAACCATATTTCAACACCTAAATTCACGCTAGCTTCGCCCTTTGTCGTCGACGAATCTTCAACCGATGACCGATAATTCCATGAAAAGCTACCAAAACAAGAGTCAATCGACGTGTATATCTCGACGAACCCTAACGTTATGAATCATTATCCAAACTATTTTTATAATGTATACTAATCGTATTCATTCATGATTAATAGAATTATACATTTTATTAACAATTTTCTATTATAAAATTGTACATTTTACTATATTAAATATAAACTCAATTAAAAAAATTATTATCTCCCCCTTAATATCTTCTTATATATATATATATTTCATCCATTATAATAACATGATTTATATACTTAGATAATAACTAATTAAAATATTTACTATAATTTAATACTAAATAAGTATTCCTATAAATAATATGATTTTAGATATTATTATTATCATCATCATCATCATCATTTTACTAGGAAAAATGTTGGGGCAAATAATTCATCCAACATTTTATTTCCCCAAATAAGGTGTTTTCTACAGTGATCTTGAAGACGTGTAGTGTTTCAGGCGACTTAGAGAAGACTCCACGATTGCTACACGTTTTCAATGTGAAGACTCCAAGATTTCCTCACGTCTTCAGCTTGCATGGGACATTTGAAGACCCTAGGAGTTCTACACGTCTTCAAGGTGAAGACTAGATGATCACAACGCGTCTTCAGCAGGAATATTGTGTGATGCATGCTGCATGCAAAGATGCTCCATGCAATGAAATAAATAGCCCGTGAATGAATGGTAGTTGAGCGGTGCATTGTTATTAGTGTATTTGGTTTGATGGGATGGGAGAGGGATGATAATATTATATATAGGGGAGAGGGGATAACTTGTTCATACATACCTGGTGGAAGAAAAAAAAGAAAAAAAAATCAGTGTGATTGGTTGAAAGAGAATGAATAAAGCTAGTGTTGAAAAAATTTGGTGGAGGTAAATAATTTTATTACCTTCTTGTTTAGTTGCCCATTATGTTGGGTGGTGATCGGTTCAAACGTCAAGTATAGGGTTTTAAGCATACAATTTTTTTAATTTCTTTTATTGTTATTTTTAATTAACTTTTATTCAAATTAATTTACATTAATTTTTATTTTATTGTTAATATTTAATTTAAAAAAATTTAGATTTTTTTACAGATTCGTTGAAGTATGGCATCACAAAATAATCTTTTGAGACTAGATCGACATATTTCTAGTCATTTGGGAGCACTGATACTAGTATTTAATAATATATTTTATTTTAGAATGATTTATTAAATATGAATATAAATATTTTATGATTAATTTAATGAATTTAAAAATTACAAGAAGACGAGCATGACACCTTCGTAATCGAATTAATGTTTGTGGTAAGCATCATAGTTTTATTATCAATAATTTGAAAATGGATGGATTTTACGATGTCACTTTGTTCGAGACTTCAAGTTAGTTCTTGGTTTGATCAGTGCGTTGATTGAACGGTGGAGACCTGAAACTCGTACATTTCCCCATACATTTCATTTATCGTGTAGAGAATGCACGATCACTCTTGAGTATGTTGCCCTACAACTCGGGGTCCTAATAAATGGGATGCCAGTAGGGAGGAAAAAATGAAAAGGACGCAATTTTAGTTTGTCAGAAGTACCTTAGAAGTACCATCAATTTTAAAAGGGCCGCGTTTGAGGCTATCGTGGTTAGAGAACGAATTTAAGCTCAATCGTTATAGTACCGATGAAGAAGTTATGTATGCAACTCGAGCATATATATATACTCCAACTGATTGGGGGAATTTTGATGCTGAATAAATTTGGTAGTTTTGTTCATATACAATATCTCCCATTTTTGAATTATTTTTGGGAAATTAGTAAAGATAGTTAAGGATCGGTAATATTGGCGTTCTTGTACAGTGAGATGTGTAAGGCATCATTAATCACATATAATAAAGTTACAGTAGAAATCGGTGGATGTCTGATGTTGCTACAGTCGTGGGCTTAGCACATACTTCCATTTTTTAACACCGATTAGTCGAGTTGAGATGAAATTTCCTCTTACCGGAATGTAAAATTTTGATGTCTTGAATTTATTTATTTTCTTGAATATGGAAACAATTATCTAATATTATTTTATTTGGTATACAGATGGAGGCATAAAATAGAAGAAACGAGGTTGGTGCATAATAATGTGAATGAGTTTAGAATGAAGATCGACATTAAAAACAAAAATGAGGTATATCATATTGATTTACTATTTTTTTATTTATCTATCTATAATTATATAATTTTGTTTTACAGTTTATTTGGAGGTCGTACGATAATGGAGAAATAATATCATTTGTGCAACCACATGCACAACACATTTGGGAGGGTTATGAATATTGGTGTGTTGTTACACCCTTGATACATTTTGCTTTTGTTGATTACCAGAGGGTAGATAAAGTGTTGAGGCAGTTCGACTTCCACTGGCCTATTCCGCGAATTACAGAAAATGATGATGGTCTCCATGCAATAGATGAATGAGGCAGGCCTGTAACTGATTGGGTTACGAAGCATGCCTAGTATATCAATCTTTGGAACAACATAGCAGTGTTGATGCCGACTCTCACTCCTATTCAAGATGAAGACTTTGATTTACAAAATTCTTCTTACCATATGTATTATTGGGATAATGGGAAGCCGTACTTGACAACAACCATAAAAATAAAGAGATTTATACAATATAAGAAAAAAGTTAGCAAAAGCAGAAAATCTAGATTGAGTGGGAGTTCAGCTGATGTAAGGTACTCCTACCTTTTGATTGATTGTGGATCTATGAAGGAAGCAAAACAACATGTATAAGTGAATGGCTCAAATAGATGGTTTGGTGGTAGATGTAAAGGTGAAATGGTAGGCTATTTATGTTATGAGAAATGGTAGCGGAAGTATGTTGTTATGACTATGGTATGGGTGATGAAAGAATAGAAGATTGGTAAGGATAATATCTTAGAAATGACCAAGGAAGAACCAGTGCTATAGAGAGCAAAGACCCAGCCTTACAAATCTTTCTAAGGGGTGGTAACAAGGACTTTGACCCACTATCTATAGGGAGATAGGAACCATAAGTATCAAGGGAAGAAGAGGTTGATGCCACAAGTAAATAAATTACTTGATAAGTCGATAAA